AGACTTCCATTAGCCACATCCAAAGTACTATAGAGAAGGTATGGATTAAGATGTGGACAGCACAGTGGCTAAATGGTTAGCACTTCTGCTTGGCAATACTAGGGTCGTGGGTTTGAATGCCAACCACGGCACCACCTGGCTGGAGTTTGCATGTTTTCCCTGTGCCTGCGTGTGTTTCCTCCGGTTTCCTTCCCACACTCCAAAGACAGGTAGGTCAATTGGCTCCTGTCTAAATTGGCCATAGTATGCGTATGTATGAATGTAAGTTAGAGACCTTAGATTGTACACCCCTTCAAGGTTAGGGACCAATGTGAATATACAAATATATGTAAAGCGCTGCAAAAATTCATGGCGATATATAAAGTACCTGTAATAAATAAAGTATACAACTCACTCAAATAAAACACGTAGACTTTATCGGCTCAGCAGCATTCTGTTTTTATGTTACATTCTTGTATAGTGTTTTTATATGTTTGTACAACCCCTGGCAAAGTAGAACCACCACTCTTGGGAAATATTCATTCAATTGTTTAATTGTGTAGAAAAAAAACAAAAAAAAAAACAAAAAAAAAAAAAAAAAAACAATCACATACATGCCTCAAAACTATTTTCAGTTAACATTCCAACCTTCCAGCTTTAAGAAACACTTAAAGAAAGAAAACTGTAGTCAATTGCAACTGTTTTTGCAGATCAAGCAGAGGAAAAAAATATCGAATCACTCAATTCTGAGGAAAATATTATGGAATCATGAGAAAAACACACTACAGTACACCACTAGTACTTTGTTGCACCACCTCTAGCTTTTATAACAGCTTGAATTTAACTATCGACAAACTGTATTTTTCATCAATCCAGCTCCAACTTTCTCTTATTGCAGTTGCCAGATCAGCTGTGCAGGTTGGAGCCTTGTCATGGACCATTTTCGTTAATTTCCACCATAGATTTTCAATTGGATTGAAGTCTGGACTATTTGCAGGCCATGCTGTTGACATTTTATGTCTTTCTTGAAGGAAAGTTTTCACTGCTTTTAGCCCTATGGCAAGATGAATGATCATCCTGAAAAATGATATCATCACCAAACATCCTTTCAATTGATGGAATAAACAAATGTGTCCAAAAATCTCAATATAAACTTGTGCATTTATTGAAGATTTAATTACTCTCATCTCCCCGCTACCTTCACCTGACATGCAACCCCATAACACCAATGATTGTGGAAATTTGCATGTTTTCTTCAGGCAGACATCTTTATACATTTAATTGGAACGGCACCAAACAAAAGTTCCAGCATCATCACCCTGCCCAATGCAGATATGCGATTCATCACTGAATATCACTTTCAACCCGTCATCCACAGTCCATGATTGCTTTTCTTTAGCCCACTGTAACCTTGTTTTTTTTATATTTAGTTGTTAATGATGGTTCGGTCACAAACATTGACTCCAATTTCTGCCCATTTGTTCCTCATTTGTTTTGTTGTGCATTTTGTTTTCAAGGCATATTGCTCTAAGTTTTCTATCTTAACTATTTGATGTCTTCCTTTGTCTACCAGTACACTTCCCTTTTACAACCTTCCCATTTGATTTGTACTTGGTCCAGATTTTAGAGACAGCTGACTGGTAACAACCAACATCTTTTGCAACATTCCGTGATGATTTACCTTATTGAAGAAATTGTATAACCCTCTCCTTTGTTTCAAATGACATCTCTCGTGTTGGAGCCATGCTTCATGTCAATCAGCTGGGTGCAACAGCTCACCAAGGTGTGCAAGCCCTCTTTAACTGTAGACTAATTAGCAGAAGTAATCTGATGCAGATGTTTGTTTTAGAACTGCAAAGTACATGGTGATTCCATAATATTTTCCCAATCACAGCAGGTCACATGACAGTTGTATACAATGGATGGCTTCATTCATGCCATCCATTGTATACTACTGCCTAGCTGTAAATGGTCACAGCTAATCACATGCACATGTCATGTGATTAGCTGTGGCCAAATCACAGCTAAGCACAAAAAAAAAAAAACAAAAAAAAAAAAAAAACAACCTGAATGAATCGATGTCATTCAGGTAAATGCTTGCTTATAGCAAAGTAATTGCTATAAGCAAATTGTGTAAAAAAATAAATACTGATCACTTCCCCAAACTAGTACAATGTTACTATGGTAACATTGTACTACTTTGGTCATAGTGAAATATGAAAAAAAAAAAATCTTAAAAAAAATAAGTTAAAAAATAAAAACGAATAAAAAAATAAAAAAAATATATATTTTTTTTTTTCATACTGTCACCAGTGTCCCTGATCACCGCCATGCCAGTTATATGATGACGCTGTAATGCACTGGATACAATATGTAAAAAAAAAAAAATAGTGAAACTAATTTTTTTCAATTTTCCCAAAAATTATGACAAAAAAAATACAACTTCAAAAAACTCGCCGTGCCTCTTATGAAGTATGTCGGACTGTCTACTCTGCAAGTGGTCATTTGGGGGATATCTGTACTGTTCTGACATTCTTGGACCTCAAGAAATTAGATTGGCTGTCAGTACTTCAGGATTGATCAATATTCAGATCTATACCATAGTTTGTGAACTCTATAACTTTCCTACAAACTAAAAAATACATCCTAATTTGGGTTATTTTCACCAAAGACATGTAGCAGAATACATCTCGGCCTAAATTTATGAAGAACAATTATTTATTTGCAAACTTTTATAACAGAAAAAGAAAAACTTTTTTTTTTTTCAAAATTTTTGGTCTTTTTTTGTTAATTTAGCAAAAAATAAAAACCCCAGCGGTGATTAAATACCACCAAAAGAAAGCTCTATTTGTGTGAAGAAAATGATAAAATTTTAGTTTGGGTACAATATTGCATGACCGTGCAATTGTCATTCAAAGTGTGAGAGCGCTGAAACCTGAAAACTGGCCTGGGCAGGAAGGTGTAAAATTGCCCGGTATTGAATTGGTTAAACAATTGAATGAACATTTCCCAAGAGTGGCGATTCCATACTTTTTGCCAGGGGTTGTAATAAAATTATGTAAAAAAAAAAAAAACAAAAAAAAAAAAAACCATAATGTGATGTCTCTGGTGCCAAGCTGATAAAATCTGGTTTTGTTTGGGTGAGTTTTATACTCAATCCATACCTCCACTGTAGACATTTTACTGCACTGTCACCGCAGGGGCACACAGGAAACAATTGTGTGATGCACTAAATCGTGAACCACACTGCCCACTACCGCAACCAGCAACAGAGAACTGCTGGAGCAATTAATTGATCTTGCAGCTCTCTGTTGCAGTGTGCATACAGCCTTGTACAGTATGTGTTTCTTAGCGAACACAATGTAAAGGGATATGGAAAATGGTAGTGACAAACATACACACACTCAAATTGAATTGGATGGACCAGAGTCTTTATTCAACTTTCCCAACTATGTAATTTCTTACTGGTAAAACATATACAAAATACAGCAAGTAACAGTTCTTGGCAAGCAAAAGAAATCTCCTATTTTACAAATATACATAATGTTTCTTACGTTCTGTTTATTAAAGTTTTGCATTGTAAATCCAAAAATTTCCCCAATAGGGAGTCACAAAACACACAAACCATTCACAAAACTGTTGCTGTGACATAGGTGCATACAAGACTTGAGGCACCAGATTACAGAAGGACAGCTGTTCTGACCGGTTGCTCATCTAGGTAGGGGGGACAGAAAACCTCTCTGACGTGATTTCTATGCTGATGACATCCAGATCTATCTCTCCACTCCCCAGCTCACCCCCTCAATCTCCTCACATATCACAAATCTACTAAGCGACATATCAGTATGGATGTCACACCACTCCCTTAAACTCAATCTTTCCAAAACCTAGCTTGTAATATTTCCTCCTCCCCGATCCCCCACTCATGACTTTACCATTAAGATCAACAGCACAACTATTAGTCCTTCCCTTCATGCCAGACTAGACTCTGTTCTCTCCTTTGGGCCCCACATCCAATCACTGGCTAAATCCTGCCGCCTCAACCTCCGGAACATTTCCAAAATCCGCCCCTTTCTGACCAATGACACCACAAAATAACTTATCTACGCCTTGGTTTTATCCCGCCTTTATTACCGCAACTCCCTCCTCACTGGCCTACTGTTACACAGGTTATCCCCCCTTCAGTCTATTATGAATGCTGCTGCTAAACTCATACACCTTACCAACCAATCAGCGACTGCTGCCCCTCTTTGCCAATCCCTTCATTGGCTTCCACTAACCCAACATATAAAATTCAAAATACTAACCACAGCTTACAAAGCCATCCACAACACTGCCCCTAGCTACATCGCCAACCTCATCCACAGATATCGGCCAAATCGCCTGCTCCACTCCTCACAAGACATCTTCCTCTCTAGCTCCCTCATCACCTCCTCCCACACTTGCCTCCAGGACTTCTCTAGAGCCTCTCTCATCCTCTGGAACTCCCTACCACAGTATATCCGCTCAGCCCCCACCCTGTCTGCCTTTAGGCGATCTTTGAAAACTCACTTAGTCAGGGAAGCCTACCCCACCTCCACCTAAGAACTGTACTTGAGCCACCTCCATTAGATCATCCCCCACAGCCATCACCTTTTGTATCACCTCCCCCTCCTTTAGATTGTAAGCTCCACGAGCAGGGCCCTCACATTCCTTCTGTACTGAAAATGTACTGTAATTGTACGGTCTCCCTTATATTATAAAGCGCTGTACAAACTGTTGTTGCATTATTATTATAATACAGGATTTATATAGCACCAAAACAGTTCAGCAAAGCATCCCAGCACTGCAACTTGAACAACTTTCAACTGGGCTTCAGGCATTCTGTAATTTTGTAAATGTTGAACACAGATCCTAATTGTTGTGCTGGCTGGAAAGTTAAACAAGCTTCTAGCAGGCTTTCAACAAGCTTCAAGCAGTGCTGAAGCCTGCTAGCACTTTGTTTAAAGCGACAGGTCTAACAGTTATGGGTCTCCACTTACCCATACGATATCCGACGAGATAAAATGCGGGCCTTCCTGGGGGTATCAATACTGTCTGATGAATCCTGTGAGTCCTCACTTTCTGATATTGAAGAAGCCTACGGATGAAGAAATCAGAATGTTTAATTGGTATGTGACTTCAATCCTACACAACACAGACTAAGATTATCTGTGAGAAGCAATTACCGTTGACGGAGCAACCTGAGGAGAATGAATGACCGATGACTGTGCTGACTGAATTACACCCTGAACGTGGACCTGTTGATCCCCAGGAAGAACAACAGTCACGGGAGCTGTGCCTCTTAGAGACATCTAGAATAGGATGGCAGTTAAGAAAGCAATTAACCAAAGAGTAAATACACTGTATATAAGAAAAACTAAATCTAGTGAGTATGACTAAAATATTCGTACTCATGGACTTGAGCAAATATCTACTAGTGAGAAAACATAGTTGTCACTATGTGGTCACTGAAAGCCTCTATACACATCCAATTCATGGTAGACTTTGCCTCTCCCTTCTTTTAATTTGCTTTGGAATGGTTATAGCTCATTTGGAGTTCTCCCAATGCTATTTACAAATGAGGTTTATTGCAATATCTATCATTAAATATACGCTCACAACTACTGAAGTGGTCTGATGAGAGTTAGTGAAGCCTATAGCAAATATAGGTCTCCCATCCATTCTCCATTGCATCCTATAAACATGAGGAACAATCTGTGCACTGTGGACAATGCTGTTACTCAAGGGCTCAGACACTGTTCTTGCACAGTTAGCTAGGCTAAAACACTACTAACAAGCAACACTAAGCTAATCAAAGAATAAAATTAACAAGCAAGGATAGAGTGCTTGTTTAATGAAAAGGTGTATGTATGTAGATTTTTAGTTTTCTTGCTACACTAGTGGTCACCAGAGTAAGAACAAAAGAAAAAAAAAAAGTCAGCTGTACCTGTTGAGCAAGTTGGGCAGCTTGGAAGGCTGAGAAGGAAATGGTCTGGACAGTCTCTGTACTACTGTTGCTGTTCCTAGAGACTTCTTCCATAATAAACTATAAAGAAAGATAAGTAACTTAGACATTTTCTCTTACACAATTATGTTTATGTAAACATTCTGATACATTGGCTTTGAGCTTTCTTTCATAGAGTATTAGAATAGCAGGCTTTTTCAAATAAGGTCACATAACTAAGCTACTGAATGGTAGGCTATAAGGAACCAAAATCCATCTACGCGCCTTGTTAAAAAAAAAAAAAAAAAAAAAAAAAAAAAAAAAGGATTCACAAAGAAATTTAGTGGATAGAGCAACAAAAACGTCTTAATGCCTCAGACAAATGTACATGTAAAAAAAATGCCTGGCTATACTACACTCAAAAGTAAATGTACTCTAAAGCTCGGTACATAATTAGGAATTTGGAGGGCTGGTTCAGCAATCAGTGTGTACTGTTGTCTGTTCAACAGTAGCTGGTTTAACAATCGGCTTCTGTCGAATGGTTATGCTGCAAAACCAGTATTCAATCACCACTTACAGCCATCGTTTGTGTTGATGTGGGAATCTTTCAGTTTTCCTTCAACCCCCTGGTTGAACAAATATAAATAAAAAAAGCATGCTCCTGGAGAGTGTCGTGTTCACCGAAATGGGGAAAGACCTTAGATAGTGGTATGTAGGTGAAAATCATGTTTTGCCAGGCTGCATAGGCACTACATCATCCAATAATTTTGGACACTGCAGCCATTGTCATTGGGGAAACATGAACTATAAAGCCGTGTTCCTGAACTGCAAGGGGACTAGGGAAAAAATAAAGTCAAAAGTAATTTCAGAGCAAGCATCCAACATTCATGCCTGCACCTTACAGTTCTGAATATTTAAAGGAGGCAGCTAGCCAATGTGGTTACAAAAAAAAGTTACACTTAAGCACTTTTCAATTTTAAAAGAGACAAAATGACAAAGGGACAATCTCTAAATAGCCCATACCACCAACACAATTATACTCCCCCTTCCGCTTAATTGCAAAAACTTCCAGGTTTGGGGAACATATTGACCACATCATCAACCCTGTGTAGGCTCTGACACCAATCAAAACTTTTACATCTCTCAGCTTCCATAGGAGCATGAGGCTGTGTCTCTTATTAACCCACCCTCTGGCCCACTCATACTCATTGTCACTTTGTTGTGTATGTTTCTATTACGGTCAATGGAAACATGCACTTACACCTCAGAAATGCCTGATGGGTTCACAATAGAATTTATATGATTTATTTCTGCACTTAACATTAATCTAGCAGTCTCTTCCATAGATTCTTTATTTTTTTCCAGTTCTCCAACTTGGGTTACTTCAGAAAAAGGTAGGGCAAAAAACAGTAGATTTTATAGATGGCATTTATTTTGCTATTGCCGTCAGAATATTTTTCTTTATGTTCTTGTTACATTCCAGTTCCTACAGTAGATGCAATCAATTTGCATACTTGTTTCAGGTCAGTAACTCAAGGTATCAAAACCAGAATGTCTACATGACAGGTAGGAGAAATCAGCAATGACAGACTGTTTACATTGCTCTCACAACATTTTTTTTTTTATTAAGTCTAAAGAAAAGAGAAAGTCAGAGAACCATCTCATAGATGAAGGGGTGTCTTTAGAAAGGGAGATTACCACAAAGTGTCCCGTGATATGCCACCATCAAATGCTTACAAACACGAACATCTCCTATAAGCTTATTTCACAAGCAGAGTTGATACACTGTAACCTTCACTAAACCCGGATTACATTGACTGATGACACAACAATATTGCTTCAGCTTTAAACATTCAGAGGCCTATTCCTACAGACTGATAAATATATTTCCTCACTACTCCCCACCCCCCATATGCAGAAACACAGAACACAGTTCTATGTGTAAAGGTGTCATCCTAGTTTTCACTATTCCTGTATTGTGGTCAGGCTGCATTAACAGTAATGTAGGTGTCTCTAGATTATTAAGTAGTCGCTGTTGAGGGTAGAAATGTCCTGTGATGGTAGCACACTGGAGATTAGAATGCTGCTTAACACAGAGCACAGTTGTTGAACACTCCCCCTGCATGGTGCTCCAAGTGTTCATGCTCCCCCAGTTGATTGGACACTGTGCAGGATGTTTGTCAGACCACTGTGCTCCCTGTTAAGCAGTTTATGCATCTCCAGATGCACGCACAATTTGTGTGTAGCACAGCCCAATACACCTTTTTTTTCCCTATTAATAATTTACTATACCTTGTTTTTCACTGTAACTCTGTGAGGGCGACTATCTTGGTAGAATAGTGCTTTGCTTGTTCATGTCACAGCTGTTCCTCTAATGACTTGTGTTCTGATGCATGTTCAAAAAGTAGCAGAATAGGTTTATAAAGCAAAAGATCCAAACTGTGATGGAAGTGACTTTTGGGTGTGGGGGGACCTCTGTATCATCTCCCCAAATTCTTATGTTTAAGTGACCCTGTGCCTGTTAGTGTACAGGGTGTGTATGTGAGGTCTATTGTGTATTGGTGTGTTGTCCTTTGTCCCTGCCATGTGGTTTCCTTTGTTCGTGGCCACATGGCTGTCCGTTGTCCTTGCCATGTGCTGCCCCATTGTTCTGTGTCTTGGTTGGATGGGGAGGGGTGATTATGTGTTTCCTACCCATACTGTAGCTCTCCCCACTGATGGGGCGGGCTGATGATGTATTTCCTGTTCCTGATTGTGTTTCCCCGCCCTGTGTATATAACTTGTGTTTTGTGTAAAAATAAGAGAGTTGGCTTCCTGTTTTAAGAAGAGCTGGGTGCTGTCTATTTCCTGAGGGATTTCAAGGGTGTGGTCCATGGATGGTATTCGGACAGGGGAAGCTGCGGTATAACGGAATATACCCAAGAGTGGTCAGGTTCCGGTTCCGTTACACAAACAATAAATGAAATAGTAGCTGGGGGATGCATGCAGTGCAGATTCCTCTCCTGCAAGGTTAAAAATCGTCATATGACGTCCTCCCAGAACGAGAGAACCGCCTTGCATCCATCATTTTACTGTATGGCGGGTGGGAGGCGGTTAAAAAAAAAAAAATTAGCCTTTACAAACATGTTATACTTATCTGCTCTGTGAAATGGTTTTATACAAAACAGCCTGAACTCTCCTCTTTTTGGGTCCCCTGCCCATGGCCCCCTCTCCTGCTGAGTGCCTCCATATCAACCTGCTGGCTATGAGGGCACTCGTGTGTGCTCGCTCCAAAGCCCTACTTTCTGTCTCAATAAGACACAGAGTGCAGCTTAGCCCCGTCCCCTCCTCACCGGCTGTGACTGACAATTGCTGCCTGCTGCTGCTGTTCAGCCAATGAGGGAGAGACCCACTGCTCTTGTGCACATTGCTGGATCAAGATCTGACTCAGGTAAGTATCGGGGGGCTGAGGGGAGAGCTGCACACTGAAGGTCTTTTACCTTCTTGCATAGAATGTATGAAGTTAAAAGCCTTTGGAACCACTTTTAATAATAAAAAAAAAAAAAAAAACACCCCAACATTTAAATAATAAAAATTGCAACAGCTTCCATTTAATTCTTCAGGGCCTTGAGTTTCAGAAATATATAATGTTTAGGGTTCTAGGTGGTTTTCTAGCAATGTGTGAAAAAATTACAGAATTACCCAGGAAAGCAAGTGTTAAAATTGGTAATATTAATAGAGAAACTCAAAAAACACACTGCAGTGTGCTGTGCTTCTACTGGAAACATCAATACAGGACACCAAAGACAGCAAAGTATAGAAAGTAGTAAGGGACCAGGCATCAGACATTCTACAAACAATACCCCCAATACCCCATAATGACAATGTGAAAGAAGTTAGTTTTGAAATCTTTGCAATTTATTAAAAATAAAAAAAAAACACCTGTAATAAATATTCACAGCCTTTTGTTCAATACTTTGTTGAAGCACTTGAAGCACCTTTAGCACCAATTACAGCCTCAAGTCGTTTTGAGTATGATGCTACAAGCTTGTACACCTATTTTGGGGCAAATTCTCCAATTCTTGTTTTCAGTAGCTCTCAAGCTCCATCATGTTGGATGGGGAGCGTCGCTGCACAGCCATTTTCAGATCTCTCCAGAGATGTTCAATTGGGTTCAAGTCTGGGCTCTGGCTGGGCCACTCGAGGACATTCACAGAGTTGGCCCATAGCCACTCCTTTGTTATGTGGGCTGTGTGCTTAGGGTCGTTGTCCTGTTGAAAGATGAACCATCGCACCAGTCTAAGATCCAGAGCACTCCGGAACAGGTTTTCATCAAGGATGTCTCTGAACATTGCTGCATTCATCGTTCCTTCAAACCTGACTAGTCTCCCAGTTCCTGCCGATGAAAAACATCCCCACTACCATGCTTCACTGTAGGGATGGTATTGGCCAGGTGGTGAGCAGTGCCTGGTTTCCTCCAGACATGACATTTGGCATTCAGGCCAAAGAGTTCAATCTTTGTTTCATGAGACGAGAGAGTTTTTGTTTCTCATGGTCTGAGAGTCCCTACCTAAGGTGTTTTTTAGCAAACTCCAGGTGGGCTGCCATTTGCCTTTTACTGAGGAGTTGCTTCCGTCTGGCCACTCTACCAGACAGGCCTTATTGGTGGAGTGCTGCAGAGTTTGTTGTTCTTTTGAAAGATTTCTCCTCTCTCCACACAGCAACGCTGGAGCTCTTTAAGAATGACCATGGGGTGCTTGGTTAACTCCCTGGCTAAGGCCTTTCTCCCTTGCTCGCTCATTTCAGCCAGTCGGCCCACTCTAGGAAGATTCCTGGTGGTTCCAAACTTTCAATTTATGGATGATGGAATCCACTGTGCTCATTGGGACCTTTAAAGCTGCAGAAATTTTTCTGTGCCTTGATACAATCCTATCTTGGAGGTCTATGGACAATTCCTTGGTTCCTGCTCTGACATGCACTGTTAACTGTGGGACCTTATATAGACAGGTTTATGCCTTTCCTAATCATGTCCAATCAACTGAATTTCCCACAAGTGGACTCCAATCAAGTTGTGGAAACATCTCAAGGATGATCAGTGGGAACAGGATGCACCAGAG